TGGCCAGGCACAGTGTCTCTCACTTATAATCCCAGCACTTTGGGAGGGCAGAGGTGAGAGGATTGTCTGAACCCATGGGTTTGAGACCAGCCTCGGCAACTTGATGAGACCTCATCTCTACAATAAATAAAAAAATTAGCTAGGCGTGGTGGCACATGCCTGTAGTTCCAGCTACTTGGAAGGTTGAGGTGGAAGGATCACCTGAGCTCAGCAGGCCAAGGCTGCGGTGGCTGTAAGCATGCCACTGCACTCCAGTCTGGGCCACAGAGTGAGACTCCAACTCAAAAAAAAAGAAAGAATGGAGGGTGATATAAGAATCCCTCACATGCCACTTTTAACCAGTCACTTTAGCCCATTGAGCAAGCCTCTAAATATATCTTTAATGGACGCCCCTCTCCATCCACAGGGCCACCTGGCTCATGCCCTTATCATCCCTCTCCTTGACATTGCCAGCAGTTTCCTCACAGCCTCCCTCAGCTCCCACCATCTCTTGTTCAAGCCCAAGTGTAGCAATTATCTAACTGAGCACAACTGCCCATCTGTCTCCTTTTCTAGACTTTGAGTTTCTCAGAGCTGGGGCCAAGTCTTCTTTATCATTATATCCTGAGGGTCCATGAGTAGAAAATATCTGTTGCATTAATGGCTTAGTTAATAGATTCATGGGTGGATAGAAGAAAAGATGGGGAATAAATGAAAAGTGGCTTGTGTCAATAGTGGCTTGTGGCCAAGTAGACAGAGGAATGAATAGATGAATGGTTGAATGGATGTTATCAGTAGTTGGATGAATGAATGGATAGATGGATGGATGGATGAATGGATGGGATGGATGGATGGATGGGAGGCATGGATGGATGGATGGATGGATGGAGTGGATGGATGGGGTGGATGGATGGGATGGGATGGATGGATGGAATGGATGGGACAGATGGATGGGATGGGATAGATGGATGGGGTGGATGGATGGGAGGGAGGGAGGGAGGGATGGAATGGATGGATGGGGTGGATGAATGGTATGGATGGATGGATGGACTGATGGATGAAATGAATGGATGGAATGGGATGGATGGATGGGAGGAATGGATGGATGGATGGGGTGGATGGATGGAATGAGATGGATGGATGAAATGGATGGAATGGGATGGATAGATGGGATGATGGATGGAGGGGTGGGAGGTATGGATGGATGGATGGATGGATGGATGGTTGGAATGGATGGAATGAATGGATGAATGAATGGAGTGGATGGATGGGGTGGGTGGATGGAATGGATGGGATAGATGGATGGGGTGGATGGATGAGAGGGATGGATGCATGGGATGGATGGGATAGGATAGATGGATGATGGATAGATGATTGGAAGATCAGAAAGATTGGTGAATGGATAAAGAAATGAATGAGAGTATGAATGACTAAGTGTCCCCTGGGGAACTGGCTCCTTCTCTATTCCTCACCCTTGGCTACCACTCCCTTGCTCTTCCCCCTTACCTGGTGGCCTCCTGTCGTTTGTGGAAGGTGCGAGTAGGGAAGTTGGCAAACAGGAAAGATTCATCGTCGCCCAAAGCATGGGCCTTCTCACTCCGGTTGGAGGCCTGGAAAGCAGCCCGCAGAGACTTCCAGGGCTGCTTTTGGGGGCCTATCCACAGTGGGGCCAAGTCAGGCTTGCCCTATCTTCCAGCCCGCTGGGCAGTCCCACCCAGCACCCAGAGCATGGCCCATCCCTTCTGAACTCCCAACCCCAGGGGTGGGCTCCCCGATGGCTCACCCCACCATATAGCCTCTGGGGAACCCAGGCACTGAGCTGCACTCTCACCACAGTCTAATTCTTGCTGTAGCTGCCTGTGCAACTTCTCCAGATCCCACGGCCCCTCCAGCTCCTTGGCCCTCGACTTCCTCCCCTGTGGTCCTTGGAGTTTGCCGGGGCTGGAGCTGCTTCTCCGGCTCGGGCCGTGCAATTCTTCCTCATCCAAGGCCTCCTCTCCAGAACTCTGCCCCTTTTTCTGAGAACCAGCCCTCTCTCCATGCTCCCCTTCCTCAGCCTCCTTTGTGGTCTCTGAGGACTGCTCGTCTTCTGAGATGAATCCTCTCCTGAAAAGCTGGGGCAGTTCCCCTGGGCTCAGGTCCCTCTCAGCCTCCTCAGCACCAGGGCCTTCCAGCTCAGCAGGACTTGCAGCCTCTGTTCCTGATCCTGACCTCTTCCCAGATGGCAGGAGGCCACATGCACTGGGGGGCTCCAGCCCTTGGTTCTCCCCTTTGCCGGGAGGGATGGGGACGCCACCCCAGGCCCCAAGCTGCTGTCCCCTCTTCAGGGTTTGCACATCTGTCTTCCAACAGCAGTCATGGGCCTCTGGGAGGTTGGCTGTGGACTTGTACCTGGACTTGTGCTGAGAGGCCTCGGTGAGCAAGGGCAAAGCTTGGTGGCCAGGGGCCGAGGGGGCGCTCGGCTCAAGCGGAGCTCGGCCATCTATGGTGACACTCTCCCAGGCCCACTGGAAGGGGAAGGAGGGCTTCCGAGGAGGGTGGAAAAGACTGAAGAGGGAGAGGGTAGGAGTGGGAGGGGGTCAGTGGCCATGGATATCCCCAACAGGGTGTGCCCCCCCCAGCCTGTCCCACGGCTCCTTACTCCTCAGCCTCGGCAGGGCCCTGTCCTTTCTTGTTCCGACCCCTAGGCCTGTGGTCCTTCTTTGTGGTCTGCCTTGCGCTCTGAGACCTCTGTTGCGGGCCTTGAACTGGCATACCATCACCGCTCCCCAGGCTTCCCTGGGATGGATGGGATAGGACAGATGGATAGATGGATAGATCATTGGATAATCAGAAAGATTGGTGAGTGGATAAAGAAATGAAGGAGAGTATGAATGACTAGTGCCTCCTAGAGACGGGGGGGGGAGGCCAGCACATTGTCACCTCCTCCGTGGGGCCCCCCTCTGGGCCCTCCCTACCATTTTTATAGACTGGTCTGCATTTTTTTTTTTCACTGTCGCCCAGGCTGGAGTGCAGTGGCACACCTCATGGCCACGGAAGCCTTGATGTGCTGGGCTCAGGCAAAACTTCCACCTCAGTTTTCCAAGTAGCTGGAACCACAGGTGTGTGCCACCATGCCCGGCTAATTTTTTGATTTATTGTGGAGATGAGATCTCGTCAAGTTGCCCAGGCTGGAACTGAACCTGTGGGTTCAGGCAATCCTCTCGCCTCGGCCTGCCAAAGTGCTGGGATTACAAATGTGAACCACTGCGCCCAACTCTGGTTTGCATATTAAAATTGCAACATGGCCATTTCTCTCACCCATGCCAGCTCTGGCACGTTTCTCTATCTTTCCTCTCTTCTTTCTCTGATGAACTTTGTTTTAAAAATAAAAAATAAGCCGGGTTTGGGGGCTCAGCCTGTAATCCCGCACTTTGGGAGGCTGAGGTGAGTGGACTGCCTGAGCCCGCGGGTTCGAGACCTGCCTGGGCAACTTGGCGAGACCTAGTCTCTACAATAAATCAAAAAAATTAGCTGAGTGTGGTAGCATCCGCCTGTAGTTCCGGCTACTTGGAAGGCTGAGGCAGAAGGATCACCGGAGCCCAGCTGGTCGAGGCTGCAGCGGCCGGGAGTGGCCACTGCACTCCAGTCTGGGTGACAGAGTGAGACTCCAACTCAAATAAATAAATGAATAAATAAAAACAAAACTGCAACACGAGGCCAGACTCGGTGGCTCACTCCTGTAATCCCAGAACTTTGAGAGGCCAAGATGGAAGGTTACATGAGCCCAGAAGTTTGAGGCCAGGCTAGGCAACATAGCAAGACCTCATTTCTACAAAAAAAAAATCAAAAAATTAGCCAGACAGGGTGGTGCCACCTGTATTCCCAGGTACTCAGGAGCCCGAGGCGGAAGGATCACCTGAACCCAGGAGATCGAGGCTGGGTGCACTGTGATTGTGCCACTGCACTCCAACCTGGGTAACAGAATGAGACTCCGACTCAAAAAAAAAAAAAAATTGCAACAGCTGCCATGTACTGGGCAACTATCACGTCCAGGCACTAAGACGCTCAACCTTCTCAAGGGCTCTATGAGGTCGATACCGCTATCACCCCATCTTGCAGAAGAGAAAACTGAGGCTCAGAGAGGCTGAGTAGCTGAGGTCACACAGCTGGGAAGTGGTGGAGCCAGGAGCTGAATCTGTAATCTTTCCCCAGAGTCCGGATTTGCCACCATTGTGCTGTGCTGGCCCTGGGTCATGGTCTGTGTTTCCAAACGTCCTGTAAGGTCCCAGCCCAGTGACAGCCAAGGTGGAAGCAACTTATCTTTCGGAATCGCTCTATCATCCCAGGGGGTCATCCCTGGACATCATTCTCAACTTCAGACCCACACTCTTTGGGTCTTTTTCCTGCTCAGGCCTCCCTCTCACTGGGGCCTCAACTCCAGTCTTGTGACCTCTCAAGGACCTCCTGTGGCCCAGGCTGCCTTGGCCTGGAATAGCCCGCCTGCCTGTGGGCAGTTAGAAGTCCCCCACTGGGCCCCCCTCACCTGCTCTTTCTGGGAGATGGTGGACAGAAGCTTGAGTAGCCCCGTGCCCAACCCTGGAGCCTGAAGCTGTATGTCTTGCCCTGGTCTTGCGGACGTGGTCCTGACCAACTGTTGGTGGGTGTTTAGCATATTGGTGTCCTGCTCCATCCCCCACCCTCACCTGCCGGCCCTGGAACTGCCCTGCAGGCCATCTCTATGGCAACCGGTCCTCAGTCAGTCTCAAGGGCTCTGGCGCAAAGTATGCCAGGAAGGGGCTGGCCAGGGAACGTGAGGCTACCCTCCTTCCGAGAGAGTTCAGCAGGATGCTGAGGAATGCTTCAGGCCTAGGAGTCCAAGACTCAGGGCCTAGCCTTGCTTTGGTTCCTGCCTCTGCCACAGACTCCCCCTGTGACCTGGTGTAAGTCCCCTGTGTTTCCCCATCTCTCTGTAAAAGGAACCTCAGGATCCAGACATCTCAAAGGGGTCTCATGTCCCATAAAAATGCCCAGGTACTGCCTGAGGTGGGTCATTCCCCCCAGCCTGTCTCCTGGGCTGCCCACTCAGCCCTGGTCGAACTGTGGGAGCCAAACCGATCTTCCCGAGATTTTGTTTAAACCACCTGGCCTCTGGCCAGGCTCGGTGGCTCAGCCTGTAATCCCAGCACTTTGGGAGGCAGAGGCAAGAGGATTGCCTGAGCTCATGGGTTCGAGACCAGCCTGGGCAACTTGGTGAGACCTCGTCTCTACAATAAGTAAAAAATTAGCCAGGCATGGTAGCTTGTGCCTGTAGTTCCAGCTACTTGGAAAACTGAGGCAGAAGGATCGCCGGAGTCCAGCAGGTTGACACTGGGGTGGCCGTGAGAGTGCCACTGCACTCCAGCCTGGGCAACAGAGTGAGACTCTGACTCAAAACAAACTAACAAACTACCTGCCCTCTACCCAATGACAGGGCAGGAAAGGCCAGGAAGTTGAACACTGTGCCCAGGAGAGAGGGGCAAGTCATTCAAAGCCTTGGGGTGGCTCTGGAAGGAGTCACAGCATTTAAATCTTATCCTACACATGACTGGGCACAGTAGTGCGTGCCCATAAGTACTTTGGGAGGCTGCGGTGGGAGGATCGCTTGAGCTCAGGAGTTTGAGACCAGCCTGGGCAACAGAGCGGGACCACGTCTCTACAAAAAAAATAAAAATAAAAATAAGCTGGCCAGGCGCAGTGGTTCAGCCTGTAATCCCAGCACTTTGGGAGGCCAAGGCAAGTGGATTGCCTGAGCTCACAGGTTCAAATCCAGCCTGGGCAACTTGGCGAGATCTCGTCTCTACAATGAATCAAAAAATTAGCTGGGTGTGGTATCACACACTTGTAGTTCCGGCTACTTGGAAGGCTGAGGCTGAAGGATTGCCGGAGCCCAGCAGGTTGACGCTGGGGTGGCCGTGAGAGTGCCACTGACTAAAAAAAAAAAAAAACCAAGTGTGGTGACATGCACCTGTAGTCACGGTTAGTCAGGAGGCCAAGGGAGGAGGATTGCCTGAGCCCAGGAGGCTGAGGCTGCAGTAAACTGTGCTTGTGCTACAGCACTCCAGCCTGGGTGACAGAGTAAGACCCCAACTCAAATACATACATTCATATATACATAGTACTGCTCATACACACTCTGTTTCTCCTTCTTGTAGGCTGCCATCCTCCTCCCTTACGTGAGACCCCTGGTAGAAGTCACATGTGTAGACTTCTCCATTTTCAGAATTTGAGACCCTTCTAGACTCAAACCCAGTTTTGATTTCTTGGACAGTCCAAAGCCCTGGTCTACTTTCTTCCTTGGCAGAGGGCAGGTCTGAGATTCACAGGTTGATATTTTCTTTTTCTTTTTCTTTATTTATTTTTGAGTTGGAGTCTCACTCGGTCACCCAGACTGGAGTGCAGTGGCCGCTCCTGGCCACCGCAGCCTCGACCTGCTGGGCTCC